CCTGTGTAAGCCCATCTCTCACTCACCCTCCATCTTTCCAAATATTATGTTCTTTTCTATGGAATAGCCTTTTCTAGGAATATGCTCAGTGGAAGAGATGAAGCTTTGCCATCTTTGCCTCCAAAGAGCACTCTGGCTGTACTTTCTCCAAAAACATCTCTTTTTCTTTTGGAAGTCATGAAGTACTCAGTATTCTCTAACACCAAAGCTCAAAGAACTCAATTCTTCTGTCATCTTTCCTCATTGTCTAGCTCTCAAAGTCTAAGTCAGGTACAACTTAATCTTCAAACTGAAATCATTGTTCTTCAGTAATTTGTAAAGGACCCTGAATACAAATCTTCCCAATGGACTATATCTCCTTATTTCTGACTGCTGGTATCAAGTATGTTGATTGTGGATTCAAGATGACAAAAAAATGCCATATAATCTATTCATTTGATACAAAAGTTAAATAATATTTCTTTTCATAGGGTGTTGTTTTTGTGTGCCATCAAGTTGGAACCAACTCATAGCTGACTCATCAGTGGGTTTTCAGAGGCTGAAAATCACATTAGAGGCATTCTCCATTATTCTCCTGCAGAACAACTGATGGAATAAAACCATCATTGAGGTGGCAGCACTACTCCTTACCACTCCTTAAAGCTATGCATATATAATTGCATGTTATACATGATTATATAATATATAATTGTTTAATAGATAAACTAACACAAAATATAGTCATTTAATGATGTGAAAGCTTACACACAAGCTACCAAATAAATAATAGTCATGTATTAATACCATTACTGTCAAGTCAATTCCAAAGCATAGCAACTCTCCATTGGGTTTCCAAAAAGGTAAATCTTTATGAGAGGATATCACTCATCTTTCTTCTACAGAGTATCGGATGTTTTGTAATTTTTAATTTTGAGTTCTCAGTATGACATGTTACATACTCTGAAACCAAAGCTCCTTAACTCCTTCATAAAGGAACAAATTGAAGTCATCCTATATTTGCTGATTCTAATACATTTAATTATAAATCATATTGATATTTCCTTTGATTTGCCATTCATTATTACTTTATTTAATCTTGATAACTGCAGTAATTAAGAATTATGAATAGCAATGTCTCTACTTAGATATGAGGAAGCTAAATCTTCAAAGCATTAGAAAATTTGTTCTTTATCATACATTGGTGATCTCAGATCTTAGGAAAATTTAACAAAAAAATCCCTATTGTGATCTCTAAGATTGTGTTATATTACTGTCACTACCTAGAACACAAATTATTCTTTTGTGACATTATTACCATCATTTTTTCTGTTTTATTCATAATATCTTTATCTTAATGATGCCAGGAAAATACAGACAAAATTATAAAGTATTGAGTGGTGAAAATTATTAAGATTTCAGGACCTAATCAACATGTTGATGACATTTTGAATCTACCTAGTGATATCTTGGAAGAAAGGTCACAGTCAGTGAAAATAATTCTCCTACCACATATGGGATTGGCATATGAGCTGACATAGACTCAATAGAAACTGATCTTTTGTTTTTTATAAGAGGGTGTCCTGTTTTAGAAAAAGTGCTAGAAATTACTATGGCTATGGAAAAATAGAATCTGTCTATAATCTCATATATCTGTATGTTTCCTCCAGATAATTTTCTTCTAGGCAGTTCTTCATGACTGTTTTGATTGCAGTGTGCTCTCTGTTGAGTCTGATTCATAGTAACCATAGAGGGCAGAATGGAACTCTCTCACAGTGTTTCTTGGGCTAATCTTTATGAAAGCAGATAGGCAGGTATTTTCTCTTTCAGTGTAGCTAGTTAGTTCAACCTATTGATCATTTGCTTAGCAGACAATAGTTTAACCATTGTGATAAGAAAGAGGTGATACTAATCAAAACTCCTTGTGAAAAGGATGCTTTGAATTCACTTTGGCTGAGAAGCAAATCTGAAAAAAAACCAAAAATACTCTGGAGACCAAGGTGCATCTGATGCAGGCCATGGTCTTTGCAATCACTTGTTTTGCATCAGAGAATTGGAAAATGACTAAGGAGGATAGGAGGATTGATGCCTTTGAGCTTTGGTGCTGGAGAAGAGTACTGAATGTACCATGGACTGC